ATTCCACGCGGACGAAGTTGCGGGCAAAACTAGTTGATTAATAAAATATATAAGTAATATAATTTAAATTTCATTTCTCTTTACAAAACATTGAATTGAGGACGGTAAATATATCAATCATCAATATATTTGAGTCAGTCAGTTAAATTCATGATACATGCGTTTCGAACATATCTGTATATTTGTGTAAATACAGTTGGATGCACAACTCGATCGGCTGATTTCCAAATACATGACACTCAAAAGGAGGCGAATTATTTATTTGAAGTTTAATGCAGTGTGTATCATTGTACACACTATTTTATTTGTGTGTGTCTGCGTGTGTGTGTGATGTGTATGTGTGTGTACATCGTATAAATTGGAAGGAAACGTGAAAAAAGTTTAAAAATTATTTTAAACTATCCTTGGTAAACTTTGTAAGAAATTTGTAGGCAGCGCCGCGGTATACAGTTAAAAAAACGAGATTCACGGATCTCTAATGACTAGTTATGTATTTTTTACGAACTTAATAAATGGATAAAGTTTATATAAATAAATAAAGAAAATTACTATTGTAATCTCGTAAGCATGAGTTAGGCATTATCAAAAGTTTATATAAATAAATAAGGAAAGAAGAAAAATACTACAGTAATCTCATGAGTTAGGCATTATCAATTATTGACATGGGGTGGGGAAACTAGCAATTTACCGAATTTAACAATGTTGAAGTAAATTCAACTCGTAATTTTTTTATGTTATTATCAGTTTCAAAGTTTATATAACTCTATCTATATATTTCTATTTATATATGTGATGTAGCCTCTTCAGTTTATCAGTTTATGCAACTTACTACCCAAATTTAATTAGTAGGGGTCGGTTCGTCGAACGGGTAAGGCCGGGTGAAATTTAGGAATGAAATTAGAGGCCAAAGTCAACGTAACATGGTCAGAAGGACAGAAGCTAGACGGCTGTAATAATATTATTCCATAGACTATGCAACATACACAGTCATATTACTAAAATATTTACTAAACTTAAACGTTAGAACATAATAGATATAAATCAAAATATCTTTGTTCATGTTTAAAGTCATGTACATACATAACATATATACACTTATGATATGTCAAATCTACCGTCAGTTTGGAGTGCTTTCGAGCTGAGAAGAACTGACAAAAAGTCAGCTCTTATTCTTTTCAAAATAGCTTATACATGTTTAGAAAATTAAATACGTTTTAATAGAACTAGTAGGTAGTAAGTTTACTAATAACTATAAGATCCGAATCGAAGTGGGTTCGAATTTGACGTATACTAATAAAATTACAATTATGTCGAATTTTGACAATATTGTCAATTTTTGACCAAATTCGAAAACAAAAATCTGAATATTATTGAAATGAAATGAAGTGAAGTGAATTGAAGTGAGTTCTAATGGTAGCGGAAATAAACAATCCTTATTCTTACCAATATTATAATGCGAAAGTAACTCTGTCTGTCTGTCTGTGTCGCTTTCACGCCAAAACTACTGAACAGATTTAAATGAAATTTGGTACACAGATAGTTTAGAAACTGAAAAAGGACATAGGCTACTTTTTAATCCAAAAAAAGGTTTGTAAGCGGTTGAAAGGGGAGGTGAAAGGTTACATGGAAATATCGACTTACAAACTTACGCGGACGAAGTCGCGGTCACATCTAGTATAATATAAATCCATTGAGTGTACCTCAGTTAATTGGCATATATTATAACTAATGTCACATATATGTTGCAATTCTTCTTCTTCTCATTAGCTTCGTTCTTGTCAGAACCGTCGTGGTCATTACGTAGTGGGATGTGAGGATGATGTCATCCGCCGCACGACAGCTCGCCATTTGTCTCTACTGTCTGCCATTCTGGTACACACGAGGACCGCCTATTGCTGCTTTGATTTGGTCCATCGCATGGGTGATTATCCACGGGGTCTAGTACCATCAACTCTGCCCTGTATGACAAGTCGCTCTATGGATGCATCCTTTTTCGTGAAACGTGACCGAAGAAGGAAATAATGCGTGATTGTGTTGTTGCTGATAGACGCTGTATAATGCCGAGTACTTCGAGTATAGAAACGTTTGTTCTAAATTCGGTCCATGATACCTGAAGCATTCTTCCCCAGCACCACATTTCCAGAGCGTCTATCTTTTTCTTTTCTACATCCCGCAGGGTCCACGTCTCCGCACCGTAGAGAAATATGGGGAACACGAGTGTACGCATTAATCTCACTTTGATGTTGCAATTAAAGTGGTTTAAATATAAAGTGCGTACAAAGTCATGACACTGCACGTGCAATTACATTGCTTTGCTAAGTTTTTAACGACTTAACTGTTTTCTATCTCTCAGTGGTTTTTTCGTCCTATATAAATATATATATATAAAGAAATGTATATATTTATAAAATACTAGCTGTACTCGCGACTTCGACCGCGTAGAATTTAGCTTTATTTTTCTAAAATAAAGTAGCTTAAGTCACTCCATATTACGTCAGCTACCTGCCAATAAAAGTCCCGTCAAAATTGGTCCATTTCGGAGATTACCCGGAAAAAACAGACAGATAGACAAAAATTTAAAAAAATGTTATTTTGGTGTATATACCGTATTTATATTTATATGCATGTAGTAAAAAACAGTTATTTCAATATTATAAACAAACACTCCAATTTTATTTATATGTATAGATATCTAATTATGTCTATAGATATCAAGTAATATGTAAGTAGAGTCTAGAACTAGATGAGTATGTGTACTACTACGAGTATGTGCTGGGTAAAAGATTCGAAAAATAAAAATAAAATATTTTTATATTTCATATAAAAAAGTGTACATACATAAAAAGGTACATATACATAAATACGTTTGTACTTATGTGTACTATATATTACAAATAACATATGTAAATATTATCATGGTTTATTTATTTCATTATAAGTATATGTAAGAAATATCTATAGGAATATGAAAGAAAAAGGAAATTATAAAGTTTTATAGTTGAGATTAATTTGAACTTTGGCCAGTTTACCTACAGTATACTTATAATATTTTTTAACTTAGAGACGGCTATAGGTTCCTCTTTCTACAAATATACCCAGTAAAATGAGAAAATTTCAAATTTTACATTCAAAAAGCAGCCTAGGTGGTCTAGCGGTTTAGCGAACCGCTTTACTTCCGGTGGTCGCGACTTCGATTCCTTGCATGATGCAAACATTTGTATATTTTTATTGCAATCGTTCTGGGTATTTTCTATATATATTAAGTATGTATTTACAAACAAAAATATTCAAGTATTTATATCAGTTGTCTACCCATAACACAAACTCTGCTTACCGTGAGAATAGATGGGGCTGTGTTAATTGTCCAGAGTCATTTATTTATTTTAGAGGTGACAACAAAAACAATGGCTCTGACTACCATATTTCCGATAACAGTCGATAGTATAGTTATTAACTTCATTACTTTCTTATATTATATATATCTTCATTACTTCCCTATAGTATAGGGGACAAACGAACTTGTGGTTCACTTCATGGTGATTACAGCCGCCCATGAGCATCCATACATTGAATGACTTAGCAACAAGTCCAGTTTATTTATAGAATAATTCAACATCTTAGAGTGACGCAAGTGAAATGATTATGAAGAGGGAAACGGATGTTCAAGGAAACGGTAGTTCAATTGATTGGAGCACTGACCTCGCAGGCCCACCCACTTCATAATGCTTTGCAGAAAATATTAATAAAAAATTATTAGTATAGTAACAATAAATATAATTATAATGAATAAATAGACGTTTACTAAGAAAATATGTTTAAAGTTTAATAAAATATATAAGAATAATAGAGCATCGTCTTGGTATCGCATGATTATTATAGATATTGCTGTTTTTTGTAATAAGCTATTGCTTGTATTTTAATCGCTGATAAATAATCTATATATGAAAGAATTATTGAAAACTTTTCAGTACGTGTTGGTTTTATGTACAAGCAAACAAATTAATTTTTATTGTAAACCAATTAAACATTTTTTAAATAATATTTTTGGATCGATCTGAAATTTAGTATAATTTACATTAAACAATTTTATAATTTACATTAATAATTTTAATAATATTTATGTATTATTCAATATTATTAAAATGATATTTAATTCACACTAAAAATGTTTAATGGAAATTAAATTTTCACTTTAATTATAATATCTACAATGTTTTTGTTAAGAAATAACTACGTAAACAGTAAAGTGATTTAAGTAACTTTATTCCTTACTAACTGTAGATGACAAATAAAGTTTGGAACTTAAGTAATACATAAGTTTTGTACAAATTACTTTTTAGTTTAAAACTTCTACGCATTAAGGACATGTTCGTAAACTATAGTTTAACAATAAAATATTCACAGACACAGATAAATCTTATATTACTATATGTATGTTACATATAGTAATATAAGATTTATCCCTTTAATGATCTATCTAACATACTATTTTATCTAATCTAAAGAGTATTTAAGCCATGTTTAATGTATATGGATATATATTAATTTATTTTACATTTTTTTAAATACAAATCTGACTAAACTTACTTTCTTATATAAATAACGTGAATTAGATGGGTCCCTAACCATTAATTATAGTCATAAGTTGTAAAAAAATTTAATATAACCTAAAAACAATAAGGGTCCCTAACCATTAATCATAAGTTGTAAAAAAATTAATATAACCTAAAAACAAATATTTTTTATAAACAAATAAATCCGTTTCTGAATAATTTTATCAAATAAATATGAAATCAAAGATTTACAGTCAATAATTAATACTTGATAACTAATTTTTCAAAAGCCTTTTATTTTATTTTTTATTAAACAATTTTATTTAAAAAGTATGTTATGTTGCTCTTGATTTATAATTTGTTGTTGTATAAAAATATATATAATATGATGATTAAACGATACAAATTAAGTAACATAATAAAGTTATAACAAGTAAAAATACGCACCGATAATTTAATTTCCACAACTCCGTTATAAGCACGCACAAAATATAACCACCATTGACGTTTGCCGGGAAAGTTAGGTAGTCGGACTACGGGTAAAGTTGCTTTATTCACCGAGGGCACGTACACTGCGAACTACGCGTGGTATCAACTGAGCCCTGCTCCCGACAGAGGGGCGTGGAAGTTCCCGACTAGTGGGGAGTGGACTCGCCAAGTACGCCAAGTCATTAATAGGAGCTTTATGAAATAGCCAAGCAAGGTGATGTTAATTTAGGGTGAATACTAAGGGACGTGAGTTGATTTTGAAGTTAAAAGTACGGTCAAGATTTTGTCTCTTATTACTGAATAAACGTCGTATAATTGGTAAAGGGTGCGTTAAGAGGGATTACTGTGTAAATACCTCAAAATTTATGTTTTTTTTTTAAGTTTTGGCATTTTTTTTATTTAGTGCCAATTATAATATTATATAACTAGCTTCCTCTGGCAGGCTACAGACAGCTGGCTGATGTTTTCAAACATTCAGCGACCTACTAGGGGCCTCTAATGTGGTAAGTGTTTGGTATCCACTGACCATTAAGCATGTGGTATTATTCTTTATATATTTTTCTATATAAACTACCATACGATAAATACAGAGCTTCTCACAAAGCGCGATCTATTTACAAACTAAAGCCTCACACTAAGACTTAAACTATGTTTAAAGTATAAACTAATTACTGATTTGTCACAATTCCTCTTTTATGTACAAATATTTCAAACGCTACATAGTTATATATTTTTTTATTTTATTTTTCAGTTCAAAGAACTTTTGTGACATTCTGTAGAAGAATATTATCTTTTCAATTTTAGTATTAAATTATAGAAAAAAAATTAAGAACTTCAAAAATTACTTGACCGATATGAAACAAAACTTTCTCCTGTAGAAAGCTATTATACATTATATAGCCCACGTGAGTATATCACGCGAGCAACACCAAGGCATACAACTAGTACATATTATTATACTTGCATTATATATAAATGAATGAATTATACTCGTACTTATTGGGATACCAATTTCCTATAATTTTAATCAAATATAAAAGCTTGATTACTTAGTACAAAGGGATATTTCGTGTGGAGTGTTTAATAACATTAGAGTAAGCAGGTGCCGCCGGTGGTGAGTCATGGCATTATGATGGGGAGACCGTGAAAACAATGGGTTTTTCTATGAAATTTGATCCTCGACATGGAAGATTCATTATCACATTAATATTTGTTAATATCAGCTATTAATACTGTTCAGGCACGTTTATATATCTAATTTTGTGGCTTAAAATATAATTATTAATTCCGAATGAGCAGTAGATTAAAAAAGGCGTAAACGCGACGGATGAAAGATGACTGCATGCAACTGAAATGAGAATGTTGAGGTGGATGTGTGGTGTGACAAGAATGGATACATTAGGAAGTATGAAAGTGGCGCCGGTGTCGGAGAGGTTGAAGAGTAATCGTCTATCATGGTATGGACATGTAATGCGTAGGAACGAGGATAATATTTTAAGAAAGATGTTACATATGAATGTGGATGGTTATAAGGGAAAAGGATGGCCGAAAAAGAGATAGATGGACTGTGTGAAAGATGATATGATAAGAAAGGGAGTAAATAACATAATGACTGCGAACAGGGATGAATGGAAGCGAAAAACATATTACGACGACCCCAAATAAATGGGATAAGGAAGAAGCAGATGATGAGTAGATTAAAAAAAATGTTATGACTATTCAAAAGTGCTTAAATTAAGTTTATTTTAATAAAGGATTTTTCTATTTTATAGAATAGAATAGAATTATCTATTAATTTTATATTCCATTTATTATTTATTAATCACTAGCTGTAACCTGCGGTAAATTTATATATATAAATTTAATTATATAGCCTATATGTTATTCTAATGCATTAGCTATATTACTGTAAAGTTTGAAAGAGTAACAAACATCCATACTCACAAATTTTCGTGTTTATAATATTATTAAGATATCATTTATTGAGTAAATCCTATTATTACACACTAAATGATTACTAGAATGACGAACGTACATGGCAATAGTAATTCATGCATGGGATTATAACTTATGTAATGTTAGACATAGACACCCACATAGGGACACAATGTAAACAAACTGGCTTATAAAACAATAGAAATTCAGTTGAGTTTCTTGCCAGTTCTTCGCAATTGGAAATGTATATTGAACTGGACGGTAGGAAAAAATATTAAAACTAAAAATTTTATGTTCATAAGCGGCTACACTGTCCTACATTAATAAATGATTTTTGATTCGATTCGATTTGATTTGGTTTGATTTGATTTGATCATGAATTGACTTTTGAATATACGATTAGTATTTGATAAGTACTTACTGATTTATAAAGCTTTGGTTAAATGTTCCTATGAAGCAAAAGCTTCACAAGTTTTCGGGATAATGTAGACGTCGACCGACTTCTCCCTCCCTCAGTCAAGAAAAGTACATAATCTGTTAAAAGATCTCAACATTTTTAGCTCATTGAGTTGTTATATTGTTTGAGTAACTTTTGTATTTATGAGGTAGGGTGATGTTGCTTGATGTCAGCCTGCGTTATTATTAACGGACCGTCAATTAAACTCTACGTTTAAAGTAATAAACTTACCTACATCCTTTTGAGTAAGTTATATGGAATAATAATAATAATCTCAGGACAATTCACACAGCGCCATCTAGACCCAAGTTAAGCTAGCTAAAGCTTGTGTTATGGGTACTACATAACTGATACATATACATAGATATTTTTTTGTAAATACATACATATTATACATAGAAAACACCCAGACCGACACAAACAACTCATCAATACAAATGTTTGTGCCGTGCGAGGAATCGAAACCGCGACCATCGGTCGTAAAGCGGTGTGCTAGACCGCTAGACCACCGAGGTCGTCAAAATATCACTTGACATACTGGAACTATTAAAATTTTATGTATTTTTTATTTAATTTTTCAGCATCATAGAAGAATATGTACACAATTAAAACATTAAAAATAAAACTAAATACAAAAGGCGGTCTAATCGCTAATGTAAACCACTAGATAACCTTTGGAAATAGAGTATTTATAAAAAAAAATATCTAATTTGGCACATATGAAATAAGTTCGGAAAGTGACTTCAATCTTCATTACATAATATAAAACAAAGTGCTGTTGCTGTCTGTCCCTATGTATGCTTAAATCTTTAAAACTACGAAACGGATTTTGAAGCGGTTTTTTTTAATAGGTAGGTATAGGTATTCAAGAGGAAGGTTCATATATATAGTATAATACAAGTATGTCCGTACGATGCCGGCGCGAGTAGCCAGTAATTAAAGAAATTAAATGCAATCTCTTCTAGACAACCTTTGGAAAGTGTAGTATTTACATAAAAAAAAAAGGTGACGCATGACTGGAAATAAGTTCGAAATGTTAATTAAATAATAATTGACATATATACTTACGTAAATAAAACTGCTATGAAAGAACGTCATAGGAATTGGTTGTAAGAAGTTAAGCATTATTTATTATACGACACTTTTAACTCGATGTTGCTATTCCTTTTTGATGGACATGCTCCTGAAAAAAGGATTAAAATTAATGGCAAACATTCACTACCATGGGTAACCGATACCATCAGACGTATGATTGACTTGCGTAATAAAGCACTGTTAATGTATAGGAGGACAGGATTGGAGGTACATAATAGATATTATAAAGACCTTAAAAATCTCGTTCACAGTAGTATTGATCGGGAAAAGCGAGCTTACTATAATTATCATATAAACTCTCAACAAAGTAATGGTAAAATTTTCTGGAAAAAGTTAAAGGAAAATATTTCCGTGGACTCCACTAAAAGTGACATACTACCGTTCTTCTTCAATAACCCCGATAACATTAATGCACATTTTTTAAATGTACCTGGACCAAATAATGTGTCTTTATCAAAACTCACTTACTTTGAGTTTCATAGGTATGGTACAGCTACTTTTCAATTGCAGCCGGTGTCAGAGAGTGATGTCGCTAGGTATATCTCGGCAATAAAATCTAATGCATTGGGTAGTGATCGGGTGAGTAGAGACATGATACTACTGACTCTTCCTCGTACACTAGCAATTATAACCAACATAATTAATAAATCTATTGTTACGTCAAAAGTTCCTAGTCAATGGAAACATGCATTGGTTACTCCTTTATCCAAAATTAATAATCCTGCCGAGTTTAATGATCTCAGACCTATAAGTATACTATCCTTTCTGTCCAAAGTCTTGGAGAAAGCCGTTCATACTCAGTTGCTGAAATACGTTGAAACAAACAACATCCTGCCAAAGTATCAGTCAGGATTCCGTAAAGGTAAAAGCACTACCACTGCTTTACTGGATGTTGTAGATAATATTCTTGCTTCACAAGATGTTGGTAATGGTACTATTTTGACTTTACTCGACTACTCTCGCGCTTTTGATTGTTTAAATGTACCTCTTTTGCTTTCTAAGCTGACATATTATGGTTTGGATCGGCACTCTGTGGGATGGTTTCATAGTTACCTTAGCAACCGATACCAATCGGTAAAAATACAAAAGCTGGATGGTTCCTACTCAGTGTTGGAGCCCAAGCTGGTAGACCGTGGAGTACCTCAGGGTTCGATACTTGGGCCACTTCTTTTCATTATTTATTGTGCTGACATTGAAAATGCAATAAACTATTGTAATTTTCATTGTTACGCTGATGACATACAAATTTATATCTCTGCAACACCCGCTGCGATTACTGACGCTGCTCATAAACTTAATAGGGACTTGGAGAAAATTGCTGCCTGGTCACAAGAAAATGCATTGGTTATTAATCCTAACAAAACAAAGTATATGATTCTTGGATCAAAAAAACAAATTACTGACATAATAAATAAAAATATTACAGTAAATATCCTGGACCAGAGTATAGAACGAGTTGAAGAAGCGCGAAACTTGGGGATTATTTTTGACAGTCGGTTGCGATTTGAAAAGCATATTTTAAATGTAGTACAACAATGTTTTTATCGCCTTAAGGTCCTATATAAAATTCGTAATTTATTATCGGAAAGAGTTCGTATTACACT